ATGTGGCATGTGTCCGTGCCGTGATTACCTGCTGATTGGGGATTGACGTGGCATGCCAGTGTATGCGTGTGACAAGCACACATTGATGATATGTCTTCCCCCTTGTATACCTCCGGGTTCTTGATGCGCTGATGTGGCAGACTCCAACGAGTTGGTTTGTTGGCATGCCAGGGGTGACATGTGGCATGCGTTGGGTGAGTTGTCGAGTGTGTTGGTCGCTGCAGGTAATACAGCTATAGAGAGAGGAGGCTGACAATTGGTTGTGATTGTTGTGTTGGTTTCCTACTTACCTGCTGGCTGTTCTGTGGTGTCCTTGCATACTCACCTGTGTGCCAATGTCTTGATCACACTGGCCGTGACTGCGGTAACTGCACATATACGGTAGAACGTCATCACACATAGATTAGGAAAATCAGACAACAAACTAGTATTAGAAAATTGATAATATCTGGTTTTTTGTATTTGCCTTCAACAATTCTTGCTGTAAGCGTAGCGTGCGTCGTGGAATTTATTTTGTCTTTGATTTTATTTATTGTGCGGCATCTGCACGTTTGGGAAAATGCATTCTCTTTAGAAGTGTTTGCGTGCCTCTATCTTGACCCGGTTCATACCGCTCTTCTTCTTTCCTATCCCTCTCACCGATTAGGGCCCAAAAGGGCTCTTCTTGTTTGGGCCCGGTCCCACTGGGTTCCAAAGGTCCCACGTAGGTCGCGGCCAGGTCCCAACCAAGAGGAGTCCCTCATGGACTTAGTTCAGTTTCTACTGTACTGAAAAAACGAAATTTCAACTTCCGGCAGAACCTAAAGACTACAACCGTTCAGAGATGAAAGACAAAGCACTGTAGAAAGACTCGACATTTAGATCAAGATACTTCAGTTTCCATCCATCAGGTGAGTAGGTGGATCACATGCATTCAGTCACACTATCAAGACCACAGAGGAGTAGGAAAAGAAACCCAAAGCACCCCAACAGGACAATCAATACCATGCACGCATACATGGGCATCCCGTAGGTGCACGACACTTATCTGAGTGGCCTTGAGCTTCGAGATGAAGATAACTCACCCCCCTCTCATGTGATCCTCCTGACCCCTCTAAAGCTACCCCTACACTAGTGTCCTATTTCCTAGGAGGGTCTGCCTCCAACACCAAAATGCAACGCCGGATCCCCCGTCGGTGCTGAAGAACAAAGTAGCAACTTGCAGTCCGTAGATGTTGAGTGGCCGTTGACCCTCAAGCTCGCCTACTTGAGTGTAGCCCTTAAGTTGCCAAGTGTCTCCCTTGAATCAGATTCCAGGTGCAAGTGCCTCTCACTGTCGCCTCTCTCAAATCGCCGCATGAAGTCTCCTCGAAATATCTCTCCACCCTAATCTCACTCTCAAGCAACCTGGTTAGGTTCAACGTCGATCCTCCGTGACCTAACCAGGTGGGGGCAGCTTCCCTCAACCACGCTGCCTCTCTTCCCTTCACAAACCAACCCTAACCCTAAGTGTTGCCCTCAACCACTTAGGTTAGGGTTAGGGCAGCAAAGTCAACTCTCACCAGTAAGTGAATCCGCTCTGATACCAATGTTATGATCCTGGTCAATTTCGAGATACACATCCATCAGAAAGTACAATGTCGTCAACTTGCAGAAAAAAATTAATGAACTTGAGAGGAGAGAGAGAGGATTAGAAGAAGAAGAAGAAGAATGAAAGAAGAAGAAGATGATGTACACCAGCATAGACAAATGGCATGACTCTTCTTCTTCGCCCAACAACCTCCTCCTCCTTCTTGTCTGCCCCTTCTCTTATTCATACAAGAAATAATAATATGACGTTGAATGGCTGATCCAAAATCAATGTTCGAGTTCCTCTTCTACTGCAGGTATCACTTGAGGTCCACCATAGCCATGGCCGCCTCTCCCACTCTTCACTCTCATAGGCCGAGGCTATGGCGGACGACTAGGCCTTGCCCAGATACCCAAAGGACAACCCAAAGCAGCTATCGCTGTGCTAGCTCAGGCCGCCATGCCTGACTCTGCCTCGAAGCTTCTGGTGTACCTCTTCCCAGTTGGGGACTCCCTGCTGCAGCGCCCACCAAGGTGATGAACATGGCTGCCACCATAGCCAGGTAAGTACCCCTGACGCTCCTCCCCCTTTCTTCCTTCTTCCTCCCTCGTGTCCTTCTCCTTCCTCCCCAGCAGCGCTGCTCTAGCATAGCGCTGCTCCAGCCAGTGCTCCACCAGTGTGTCGCCAAACTTGCACACCGAAAAAAAGGTTGGGCTCTTCGGCCGGCTGGGAGATATAGCGGCCTGCTTGCCTCTTCGGGCGGTGAATTCCAGGCCGCTCGGCCTTCCAAGCAACCGGTACCTCCTCCCTTTCGGAGGGAAACATCATTGCAGACTCTAATATTGCCCGTACAGGCCCTAGACCCAGACTGGTTGGGCTGATATCCGCCTAGACCTAACCTACAACTACGGGGCCTCTAAAAATGCCACTTTTGTCTTCTTCTGCTCGACCTCCAGTACCCTCACATCTACCCCTTCAGGGTGCGGTACCGGCCTACCCGCTACTTGAGTGTTTTTCCTGCTGCAATCCCTCAATGTCATGGCCACAGTTAAGTACCGGCCCTGAGGGCCCAATGAACGAGCAAGTGCCCTTGTGGGCCACACACACACTTATCACTCAGACAGGCACGACCGCACACACATTCAAGCCAACCAGCACTCAAACAGACACGACCACACACACACTCAAGCCAACCAGCATTCAGACAGACATGCAGTCCAGCAAGCGTGCACACACAGACTTAGTAGCAAGCGAGAAACTCAGCAGGGCATTCAGTCTATGGGCAAAACTCAGAAATCAGTTGTGTGTTTCAGTCCATGTTTGGACGGGTCATCACACCACCACCCTTGTGCTGCCTCGGTCGACTGCCATGTCCGAAACCTTAGGAAATTTGTCCATGAGTGTCTTAATTTCTCCATATTTGTCTCTGATGCTCCCATCATTATGGTAAGGTCATCATCAAACATGGAGCATACTTCTATCGCCTCCTCAGGTATACCTGACAACTTTAGCTTTGTGAGGTTATTATTTGCTCGTAGGTTGCCACCTAGAGGTTTCATAATTATGACAAAAAGAAAGGGGGCTATTGGATCCCCTTGTCTAACCGATCTTTGTAGATGGCTGGGTCGCAAGGCAGACGCGTATGCGGGCTCCGTGAACGTGCATATGTGTATGCATATACGAGCGTACATGTCGCGTGCGTGTACGTGTGTACTTGATTTTGGGGCCCGCCTACGTGGTCGTAGCGGGCCAGTTTGAGGGTTGGGTTGAGCCCCGTAGGCTAGGGAGTGGGTGGGGTCCAGATTGGAGTCGGGAAGTGACGTGCGCGTGCGCGCTTGTGTGTGTGTGTGTGTGTGTGTGTGTGTGTGTGTGTGTGTG